GTTTGCTTCTTGGCAAGGACTGATGTTGTCTGGGCAATCCTAGACATGATTTCTGGTCTTGATCCCAGGTCACTTCAAATGGAACCTACATATTTGAAATGAGTCACTTGTTCTAATGTGTGGCCTTTAATGTAGATTGGTGACATTCTGCCAGCTGGATTATTAGTCATGACTTTTGCTTTTTCTGTGTTTATTTCCATGCCATACTTGGTTGATGTTTCATCGAGTAGATTTACCAGCTCGACTAGCTCTTGTTCTTCTCCTGCCAAGCCATCGATGTCATTTGCAAACCTTAAGTTTGTTATAGTTCGACCTCCTATACTAACTGTCCCATGATGTTGTTCTAGGGCATCAGTCATAATTCTAAAAACATTGTTGGAGAGAGGAGGCAACCCTGCCGGACTCCTACTGTTGTTCGGAACCAGCTTCCTTTTTGTCCGTTCAGCGTGACAGTACTGCTGGCCTTGGCATAGAGCTGTTCTATAGTACGTATGAGGGTTTTACCCATAGTGTACTTAGTCCTAGTGTCCCAGAATGCTGCATGCCATACTTTATCAAAGGTCTGTTTAAAATCAATGAACTCATGGTATAGATGTTTTGTGTGTGCTGGTGTTATTGCTCAGATAATATGCAGAATTCCTGAGAAATTTGACTAAAAAGCTCAACAAAATGTGGAAGCAGAAAAACTTGCACAAAACAACACAACGTAACGTTTCGGCCGGGCAGCCTTTTTCAACATATTTTCAGATAATATGCGTACATCACATATCTGTTCAACAGTGCTTCTTCCAGCACGGAAACCCGTCTGTTCCTCTGCGATGATCATTTCTGCATGTGGCGTTAATCTGTTTAGAAGTATCTTGAGCATGACTTTACTGGGATGACTGATGAGACTTATAGTGCTATAATTTTGACATTGTTGTAAATTCTCCTTTTTGGGGGATGGTAATGATGGGTGATTTGGTCCAAAGAGATGGCCATTCACCAGACTCCCAAATTTTGTTACAGATTTCTCTGAGGATGTCGATGACGTCCTCTACAACCCCCGCCTTAAGGATTTCAGCTGGGATTTTGTCAGTTTCAGCTTTGCTATTTTTTTGTTTTTATTTCTGATGGCTAATTCTACTTCATATTTATCGCTCTATTCTTGTCTGCTAGTTGAGGATTGTGCCTGTTTTCTTCAGGTGCCTTCGCTGGTCACACATATTAAGAATTTCCTGAGTGACCCATGGTTGCTTTGGTTTTGTTTTGTTTTTTGGTTGCATCCCAATAATTTCTTGTGTTGTTTCATTTATTATTTTGGTGAATTCATTTGTTATAGTGTTTCTACGCTGTTCATTTTGTTAATCAGGGGAGCAAACTTTCCTGCAATTCTGACTCTGAAATTGTCCACCCTTACCGGATCCGTTAGTCCGTCAAAGTCGTATGTTAGTCCACCGCCAAGATGGCAGTGGTTAGTCGTATGGTCTTGGCACGATTGAAACGTTTGAGGTGGATCCTAACATCTAGCAGTACTTTAGTTTGGCCACTTCCTATATCAGCTCTTGGATAGCTCCTTGTCTTCGCTTTGTTTTTCCCAGATTTAAAACGTTTTTGGACTAGTATGTAATGAATGTGGTTGTGTCATTTGGTGAGTGCCATGCGCAAATTCTTGATGATTGTGCTTGTGTAATGTATTAGCTAAGAAGAGGTTGTTGGATGTGCAAAATTGCAGTAGTCTGAATCCTCTCTCATTGGTGATTTTGTTGCAGAAAGGTCCACATGTGTCTTTCCAGTGTGCGTGTACATCTGTTCCTAACTTGACATTCCAATATCCCAGAATTATCACTACATCTTTCTTTGGTGTTTTGTCAATAATATTTTGGACTTGGTTACAGAAAATCTCAATAGAGTTGTCATCGTAGTCTGTAGTTGTAGCATAGGCTTGTATGACTGTAATATTGAAAGAGGTTGCGTTTAAGTGTTTTGATATGAGACTGCTCGAGATAGAGTTGCATCCAATAATTGTGTTTCTAATATTATTGTGCACAAGAAGGTCAAAGCCGTTTACTCCTCTCCACTAAAGTAAAATGCATGTCCTTGATCAGTTGTTGTTTCTCCAAACTCTTTCCACCTAGTCTCACACAGACCAGTGGGGTGCCAACTATACCTTTCCACCTAGTCTCATATAGACCAATGAGATGCAAACTATACCTTTCCATCTAGTCTCACATAGACCAAAGAGATGCCCACTATACCTTTCCACCTAGTCTCATATAGACCTTTGAGATGCCAACTATACCTTTCCATCTAGTCTCACATAGACCAGTGGGATGCCAACTATACCTTTCCATCTAGTCTCACATAGACCAAAGAGATGCCAACTATACCTTTCCACCTAATCTCACACAGACCAGTGGGGTGCCAACTATACCTTTCCACCTAGTCTCATATAGACCTTTGAGATGCCAACTATACCTTTCCACCTAGTCTCATATAGACCAAAGAGATGCCAACTATACCTTTCCATCTAGTCTCACATAGACCAGTGGGATGCCAACTATACCTTTCCATCTAGTCTCACATAGACCAAAGAGATGCCAACTATACCTTTCCACCTAGTCTCACACAGACCAGTGGGGTGCCAACTATACCTTTCCACCTAGTCTCATATAGACCTTTGAGATGCCAACTATACCTTTCCACCTAGTCTCATATAGACCAAAGAGATGCCAACTATACCTTTCCATCTAGTCTCACATAGACCAGTGGGATGCCAACTATACCTTTCCATCTAGTCTCACATAGACCAAAGAGATGCCAACTATACCTTTCCACCTAGTCTCACACAGACCAGTGGGGTGCCAACTATACCTTTCCACCTAGTCTCATATAGACCTTTGAGATGCCAACTATACCTTTCCACCTAGTCTCATATAGACCAAAGAGATGCCAACTATACCTTTCCATCTAGTCTCACATAGACCAGTGGGATGCCAACTATACCTTTCCATCTAGTCTCACATAGACCAAAGAGATGCCAACTATACCTTTCCTCCTAGTCTCACATAGACCAGTGGGATGCCAACTATACCTTTCCATCTAGTCTCACATAGACCAGTGGGATGCCAACTATACCTTTCCATCTAGTCTCACATAGACCAAAGAGATGCCAACTATACCTTTCCTCCTAGTCTCACATAGACCAGTGGGATGCCAACTATACCTTTCCATCTAGTCTCACATAGACCAAAGAGATGCCAACTATACCTTTCCATCTAGTCTCACATAGACCAATGACATGCCAACTATACCTTTCCACCTAGTCTCACATAGACCTTTGAGATGCCAACTATACCTTTCCACCTAGTCTCACATAGACCTTTGAGATGCCAACTATACCTTTCCACCTAGTCTCACATAGACCAATGAGATGCCAACTATACCTTTCCACATAGTCTCACACAGACCAATGAGATGCCAACTATACCTTTCCACCTAGTCTCACATAGACCAATGAGATGCCAACTATACCTTTCCACCTAGTCTCACAAAGACCAATGAGATGCCAACTATACCTTTCCACATAGTCTCACATAGACCAATGAGATGCCAACTATACCTTCTCACCTAGTCTCACATAGACCAAAGAGATGCCAACTATACCTTTCCACCTAGTCTCACATAGACCAATGAGATGCCAACTATACCTTTCCACCTAGTCTCACATAGACCAATGAAATGCTAACTATACCTTTCCACCTAGTCTCGCATAGACCATTGAGATGCCAACTATACATTTCCACCTAGTTTCACATAGACCAATGAGAAGCCAACTATACCTTTCCATCTAGTCTCACATAGACCAATGAGATGTCAACTATACCTTTCCACCTAGTCTCACAAAGACCAATGAGATGCCAACTATACCTTTCCACATAGTCTCACATAGACCAATGAGATGCCAACTATACCTTTCCACCTAGTCTCACACAGACCATTGAGATGCCAACTATACCTTTCCACCTAGTCTCACATAGACCAAAGAGATGCCAACTATACCTTTCCACCTAGTTTCACATAGACCAATCAGATGCCAACTATACCTTTCCGCCTAGTCTCACATAGACTAAAGAGATGCCAACTATACCTTTCCACCTAGTCTCACATAGACCAACACGATGCCAACTATACCTTTCCACTAAGTCTCACATAGACCAATCAGATGCCAACTATACTTTTCCAGCAAGTCTCACATTGGTTAATGAGATGCCAACTATACCTTTCCAGCTCATGTTGTAGTTCTGCTAGCTTGCCAGTCTGTGTTAAAATACGCACATTCCAGGCACCAAAAAGTGCCGTGTTTCTTCCACGTATACGCTTCCTCTCGTTTTGATCAGCAGCTCCCCCGTGTGGGTTCCGGGGTACTACTATGGGAAAACAAGAATAGACCCACTGCCTACCCAAAAGCATGTCGTAAGAGTCGACTAATTGGGACCTTCCTTCGAAGTCAGACTGCATCTGCCTGAGAGGCAAGGACCCAACAGTCTGCATACAGATCTGTCAAACGGATGCACACGCAATCCTCAGGTTCTATAACAGGACTGCAGTCCAGAGGTGGACGAACAACCAAAACTTTCCGCTAGGGTTTACAGCCGGTGAACGCGAAGAAGATCAGCAGCTAACTTTTCGCGACTACCCTGATCTGGGACGGACGGCGCGGTCCTTGGTAACTAGGGTGACGACCGAGCCGGTGTAGTATCCGATCTATATGGGGCCGGTATTCGGAAGAGTGCCTCCACTCTTCCGAATACCGGCCCCATATTATTTGCTGTCCAAAACATTCCTGTTAGAGCCTCCAATTAATCTTTTTATTTTATATAATTATCTTGAGTCGGCTTAATTAAAAAAAAAAACAAATTAGTAGAATCTGGCGTACAAAAAGCCAACATGGCAACCCTGCGTCAGGACAGGGAGCACTGACCTTGACCGACAACTGCTTCCGGCCAGGTCATGTCAACATGGCGAGGGACAAGATGAAACTGTCGGTATGGCGCGGTGACTGGGGCTTGCCTTCTGTGGATCCCCACTGTCTGGCTGTTCTGGTAAACTCCCCGGCTAGTTTGTTTCATAAATCATTCACACACAAATATTATCTTTGCTTAGAAATGGGGTATCAGCTTTAGTGGGATTGTAAAAAATTTAGTTTTAGTGTAATCTCTATAATGTTTGAGTGACTTAATATAGTAGTCAAATTTTCAAAATGCCCTCTACACCAATAAAACCAGCACAGTTAGATAGCTGTAAACAATCTCTTTCCAATGGTACCTTATTTAGGCTTGTGTGTCATTTCTGAGCTGAGATATGTAGGTTTTTGTGGAGATGAGATGTAAAAAAACAGCTGCTAAAACTTGTGTCTGAGAAACAAGAAGTTTTCTCTGCGCAACCAAACTGGGCACTTTCGTTTTGGCTTTGTTTTCATTGGACAAGATGGCAGACAATTTTTCTCAGACACAGCCACATAATAGCGATTGCATGAAAAATGTCACTGTAAATTGAAACAGCCACAGATAAGAAAGAAATTTTATACACAAGACAAATGTAAAATTGTACGGAGAATTCAATTATAACTAGCATTACCATGTCAAGTAATGTTAAAGCCTAAAGCCAACCTTGAATACTTACCACTATTTTCAATCAAACTGATGCAACAGAAAAACAGAGGACGTCCGGCTGTCGTAGACATGCGCTGTTAATCGGGTTCGTTCCCGCCGTTTTCAGCTATTCATAGCTGGTGAAAATCACACCAATCGCAAAATTTCATGAGAGATTAGGACCCATCCTGAAACCCCAGCCGACATTTTCCAAACAAGTTTCAAACGGTTTCCATGGTAACAGAAATTGCCAAAAAGACCGCAAATTGTCGAAACTGTAGTCGCTAATTTGACCAATTTCGGACAAATGTTGTAGTAAACTAGCTAAACTCAAACACGTAAGTAATTTATTCTTTCCGTAGCCAACAATTTTTATGTATTCTTGAAGAAATCCTAGCAGTCAAATACAGTGTGATACTCAATCACATATCTGCACATCGGATTATATTCACACACACATACAACCACACATGCACACACACACACACACGTATACACACATCATGAAACATTTACATTTACAGGCATGTTGAATAATTTGATTTACTGACATTTGGACATTTGACACAGGCATATTGCAAGTTTTCGGGTGTTCCTGTTGATGTTGTCAAGACTGGAAATCCTTGGAGTTCTCCAACAGGTGAGGAAGTTTACATGCCCCCCCCCCCCCCCCCCCCCCCCCCCCCCCCCCCCCCACCCCCCCCCCCCACCCCCCCCCCCCCCCCCCCCCCCCCCCCCCCCCCCACCACCCCCCCCCCCCCCCCCCCCCCCCCCCCCCCCCCCCCCCCCCCCCCCCCCCCCCCCCCCCCCCCCCCCCCCCCCCCCCCCCCACCCCCCCCCCCCCCCACCCCCCCCCCCCCCGTAGATTCTGAATATCATGATTTTAACATGATATTGCATCAGTGAAGAGATGCCCTGACCAACAATGTTAGTTCTCACATGTACATGATTTCTGGTGTCAGCAAATGCTGTTATTTTATTTTTAAAACAAAAGATTTCAGCAAGTAGACTTATCTAACATTCTTTCTAATCACTCATCCGCACTCATCAATGATACACTTCTCCTGTTGTGATCATTTGTATTCACACATGCATTATCATTTCCACGCTGTCATATCGTGTGTGTTATAAATAAATACAAAGTTGCAGGCCACACAGACTACTGCCATTGTAAAGTTTGAAAGCCTTACTCGCTGTCCTACCTGTCAACAGACCTACTGTTCTACATGTAAGAAGACCCACTGTCCCACCTGTCAACAGACCTACTGTCCTACAGACAGGTGGACCCAGTGTTGAGTGTCCCAGCTGCACACACCTGTTTGACTACTTAGTGTACCTTGTGTCACGTAAAAAAGATTTCTGATGACAGACAAGAGCAGTGGGTGTGTTGTGGGTCTGTTCCTGTGAGGGGGGCAGTAGGTGTGTGTGGGTCTGTTCCATGATGGGGCAGTGGGTATGTGTGGGTCTGTTCCATGATGGGGCAGTGGGTGTGTTGTGGGTCTGTTCCTGTGAGGGGGGGGGGGGGCAGTGGGTGTGTGTGGGTCTGTTCCATGATGGGGCAGTGGGTGTGTTGTGGGTCTGTTCCTGTGAGGGGAGGGGGGGGCAGTGGGTGTGTGTGGGTCTGTTCCATGATGGGGCAGTGGGTGTGTGTGGGTCTGTTCCTGAGATGGGGCAGTGGGTATGTGTGGGTCTGTTCCATGATGGGGCAGTGGGTATGTGTGGGTCTGTTCCATGATGGGGCAGTGGGTGTGTGGGTCTGTTCCTGTGTGGGGGGGCAGTAGGTGTGTGTGGGTCTGTTCCTGTGTGGGGGGGGGGGGTGCAGTAGGTGTGTGTGGGTCTGTTCCTGTGTGGGGGGGGGCAGTAGGTGTGTGTGGGTCTGTTCCTGTGTGGGGGGGGGGAGTAGGTGTGTGGGGGGGGGCAGTAGGTGTGTGTGTTCCTGTGTGGGGGGGGGGGCAGTAGGTGTATGTGGGTCTGTTCCTGTGTGGGGGGGGGGCAGTAGGTGTGTGTGGGTCTGTTCCTGTGTGTGGGGGGCAGTAGGTGTGTGTGGGTCTGTTCCTGTGTGTGGGGGGCAGTAGGTGTGTGGGGGGGGGGGGCAGTAGGTGTGTGTGGGTCTGTTCCTGTGTGGGGGGGGGGCAGTAGGTGTGTGTGGGTCTGTTCCTGTGAGGGGGGCAGTGTGTATGTGTGGGTCTGTTCCTGTGAGGGGGGCAGTGTGTGTGTGGGTCTGTTCCTGTGAGGGGGGCAGTGTGTGTGTGGGTCTCTTCATTTGCCCTATAATGGGAGCCCACACGAGGAAGTGGCTTTAGTCTCTAGAACTCAGAGAGCTGCCACCTTTCACCCGTTGAGACAGCTCATGTCACTAGTATATCTTCTGTGGTATTCCACAGCCGCAGCAGCAACACAAACTGGGCATGGATATTTATGAGATGAAACTCATTAAATGTTGATTGTTGTCCTCAGGAAACTTTCCCGTCTTGAGTGCTGGGAAAGAGACCTACTGTCGGGTGTCGGATATTTTTACATATTTGAGGAAAGAGGTAACAGTTGTTGAGACAGAACAGGTAGAGAGTGCTTGTTAAAATCTGTCAGCTACTGCCATTAGATATGTGACAGGCTGGCATACATTAACACCTCATCTATCTATACAGAAGTGAAACCTTGTTACACACAAGTGCAGTGCTTTGTTCCCCCCTACCAGTAGACAACAGTAAGCAGTACTGGCATCATTTATTTCAGTGACAATGTTTGTTGTTGTTTGTTTGTTCTAGTATCCAGAAGCCATGAGTTGTTAACCCTAAGGCTCGGTATTATGGATATCGCAACCTTTTGACCTTGATTCCATTGTAAATACCGTAAATCTGGGAGAAAATGTGGCTTTCCTGCCTACCCCCGGGATTGAACCCGGACCACAAGGAGTTTGTCACCCGGTCTCTGCGCAATCCGGTTTAGCCAATTACACTAGAGAGCCGGGCCAGTGATAATGTAACAGACACTTTATGTTGAGCACTAGCACCTTTTAAAGATCTTTGCGGTGAGTACCGGCACCTTTCTTCCCTAGGAAAAAAGTGTTGTACATGTGTATTTAGAAGGGTATTAACACCTCTTACACAGTGCAGATCTGATAAGGAGAACACACCAGAGACCAAGGAAATAGTCCTTCTTATGAGAAATTCCTTCTGTCCAAAAAGATTTCATGCTTTTATATCAATGACCTGGTGAAAGTACCTCCTGAAGGCTATGCGTATGCACATGATCTGGCACTCTTGTGTACTATTGAATACTCCACAGATAATCCGGCACTCTGGTGTACTGATGAACACTCCACAGATGATCTGGCACTTTTGTGTACTGATGAACACTCCACAGATGATCTGGCACTGGTGTACTGATAAACACTTCACAGATGATCTGGCACTCTGGTGTACTGATAAACACTTCACAGATGATCTGGCACTCTGGTGTACTGATGAACACTCTTAAAGTAGCAAATATAAGAATGCAGCGAAGAATGTAGACCTCTTGATGACCTGGGTGGGAAAGTGGCATTTTGTCATCAACACAGACAAAACATCCACAACAGTTTTCCCTCTTTTCCCCAGAAACAAAGCTTCTAGTATTTACCTAGGAATATCTTTGCTAGAAGAAGAAATCTTCCCCACTTATCTTGGAGTGACATTTTATGAAAGGCCACTTAAAACAGACATACAGAAAATGTAAAAAGGAAGGCCAGAAGATGACTAGGCCTGCTAAGAAAACTGGCAGGTTCTTGTTATTCTTTATCTTCTTACTCTTCTCCTTTGTCTTCTTTCTCTTCATTTTGTTTTCTACAGTATTCCTAGCCCTTAGTGTTCAGTGATACATGTCACCCGTCTTCATTCATATCTCTGATTGGCAATCTCTTTCCAGTTGGTGACACCAAGTGTTTGTTGGTCTCTCTCCATCATCCTTTTTAGTTTGCTTCATAAAGATATCAATACCGCTCATACTTATATAGATATCAATACCTGTTACATTTATATAGATATCAATACCTGTTACATTTATATAGATATCAATACCTGTTACATTTATATAGATATCAATACCTGTTACACTTATATAGATATCAATACCTGTTTCATTTATATAGATATCAATACCTGTTACATTTTATTTATATAGATATCAATATTTGTTACATTTATATAGATATCAATACCTGGGGGGGGGGGGGGGGGGAGCTGTGTGATGGTAATGAGAGGGGGAGAGTCACAGAGTTGGAGGTTTGTTACAAGTTTATCATTTATTCTTGTGCAGAACTGGGGCAGTGACTTTGAGTTGTCCAGGAAACAGACTGCTGATGTGGTGGCTTTCTCTGCCTTGCTGGAGGAGAAGCTGCTGCCAGCCCTGGTATGTTATCTTCTCTTGTCTTACTTGGCTTGCCTCTGTGATGCAGGCTAGATATGCTTAAGGGTATAGACTTCACATATTCTAGGATACAGACTTCACATATTCTAGGATACAGACCTCACATATTCTAGGATACAGACTTCACATATTCTAGGATACAGACTTCACATATTCTAGGATACAGACTTCACATATTCTAGGATACAGACTTGACATGCTAGAAGATACAGAATTAACATACTCTTGGTTACACATGTAACAACCTCAAGGATAAAGACTTAACATGCTGAGGTATACAGACTTAACCTTCCCTAGGATCCACACCTCACAGTCTAGGATACAGACTTAACCTACTCTAAGGTATGGGTTTAACACAGTCTAGGATACAGACTTAACCTAATCCAGGATACAGACACAACTATTTTAGGATGGTATTTTTCTGAGGGTTGGACAGAATTTATTTGGATATTCGAGCACCTACATTGGCAAACCAATTAATCGGCAAAATTTAGAAATGGGACAAAGTCTGTCACCGACTCATGGCTGATATGTCTGGAAAGAGTTAACATGCTCAAGGATACAGACTCGAAGACACTTTTTACTTCAAGCCTAACTTTGAATCCCATGGGGTTTAGCATCAGAGGCCCAAGGGGTGGTAACACAATTTTGCAATGTCACAAGCGTTACACATTAAAACAGACTATAGTAATTCATCTGCTGCGCAACATAGACATTTTTTACATCGAAGTGACCAGGGATGGTTGAGGAATAATATTAGAATACTGCTACAAAAATAAACTGTGTTTATTAGTAAATAAAGAAATGGTATGTTTAACAGAATTATTCACATGAAACAATAATTTATTTACTTACCGCCAAAAAAATATATCCTAAATAAATCACAAATGAACATGAACCATTTTGTAATGTACAAATAAAATATAAACATAATCTGCCCATTAGATATCCTTCCAGAAAAACGTTTGGAACATCCTAACAGACAGCACCATTGTTTGGTAATGAAAAATGACCTTCAAAAACAGCACGTAAGAAAAAAGAAAATAAAAAACCTAACTTTAAATAACTCAGCCAGCCCGTCATGTTGTAGCCGTTGTTCGGAAATAATCAGGAAACCACACTAAACCTAACTGAGACGGGAAAACATTGCCTTTTCACTGTTTATTCTCTTTGTACCAGCTGACTTTGTTATCGTTGTACGCTTTGCTTGAGGAAAATATCAGAGCAATCCCTCATCAAAGTTTGTCTCTATCAATGACTGAAACAATTCTACTTCATAACTTTCTTTGTCTAGCTTTGGATAGATCTGATAAATGTATGTTTTATTTGAATATAAGTCTTCTGGAGTCATGAATCTTGTTGGTTTGTGAGAAGAAGTCTGCTCGGAGAAAATATTGTTTTCTTAGTAACTCGGTAAAGCTCACAAACATGTTACATTTTATGCTTTTAACAACGTTTCCGAATAATCCTAATGGTCATCACGTGGGAAATTGAACATAAGGAACAGGAAGTATCCTTCAAAACGGCCAATTTATGTTGTTATACTGGCCAGTGGTAAATTAAAGACCAGTACACTTCATGTGCTCATTGGGCGTCTTGGAAGTAACCCATTAGCGCATGTTGCATTCCTTAGGACTCAAAGAGTTAAGACACTATCATACACAGGATTCAGATACTCTGGCATGCAGGCTTAATACTTTAGACAGCTTAATAAAGCTCACCATACATGTATAGTACAATTTTTAAATCAGTGTAAGTGGCTAGAATTAGCATACAAACATACACTAAGATATGATTATGTTTCCTTAAGATAGCCTGTAATGTACCGGAGTCAACCATGCAACTAATTGACTGACTCATATCTCCGATGACAGCTGCAGCTGTGGTGGGTCGATGACAAGACATTTGTGGATGTCACCCGCCCCTGGTACGCCAGTGCTGTCCCATTTCCCCTGAGTCTCTTCCATCCTCGGAGCAAACAGAAGAAAGCAGAGTTGCGGGTCTTGTTGACCAAGGGAGGCGATCACATCAGTGAACTCGAGAAAGAAGCCAAAGTCAGTGACTCTGATGTTTACAGTTTTTTGTTTCTCTGTTGCCTGGTACAGATGTCTTGTGTTTCTCTGTTGTCTGGTACAGTTATGTTGTGTTTCTCAGTTGCCTGGTACAGTTGTGTTGTGTTTCTCTGTTGCCTGGTACAGTTGTGTTGTGTTTCTCTGTTGCCTGGTACAGGTGTGTTGTGTTTCTCTGTTGCCTGGTACAGGTGTGTTGTGTTTCTCTATTGCCTGGTACAGGTGTGTTGTGTTTCTCTGTTGCCTGGTTCAGGTGTGTTGTGTTTCTCTGTTACCTGGTACAGGTGTGTTGTGTTTCTCTGTTGCCTGGTACAGGTGTGTTGTGTTTCTCTGTTGCCTGGTACAGGTGTGTTGTGTTTCTCTGTTGCCTGGTACAGGTGTGTTGTGTTTCTCTGTTGCCTGGTACAGTTGTCTTGTGTTTCTCTGTTGCCTGGTACAGTTATGTTGTGTTTCTCTGTTGCCTGGTACAGATGTCTTGTGTTTCTCTGTTGCCTGGTACAGTTATGTTGTGTTTCTCTGTTGCCTGGTACAGGTGTGTTGTGTTTCTCTGTTGCCTGGTACAGTTATGTTGTGTTTCTCTGTTGCCTGGTACAGATGTGTTGTGTTTCTCTGTTGCCTGGTAAAGGTGTGTTGTGTTTCTCTGTTGCCTGGTACAGGTGTGTTGTGTTTCTCTGTTGCCTGGTACAGTTGTGTTGTGTTTCTCTGTTGCCTGGTACAGATGTGTTGTGTCTCTCTGTTGCCTGGTACAGTTATGTTGTGTTTCTCTGTTGCCTGGTACAGTTATGTTGTGTTTCTCTGTTGCCTGGTACAGTTATGTTGTGTTTCTCTGTTGCCTGGTGCAGTTATGTTGTGTTTCTCTGTTGCCTGGTACAGTTGTGTTGTGTTTCTCTGTTGTCTGGTACAGATGTGTTGTGTTTCTCTGTTGCCTGGTACAGTTATGTTTCTCTGTTGCCTGGTACAGATGTGTTGTGTTTCTCTGTTGCCTGGTACAGTTGTGTTGTGTTTATCTGTTGCCTGGTACAGTTATGTTGTGTTTCTCTGTTGCCTGGTACAGGTGTGTTGTGTTTCTCTGTTGCCTGGTACAGTTGTCTTGTGTTTCTCTGTTGCCTGGTACAGTTATGTTGTGTTTCTCTGTTGCCTGGTACAGTTGTGTTGTGTTTCTCTGTTGCCTGGTAAAGGTGTGTTGTGTTTCTCTGTTGCCTGGTACAGGTGTGTTGTGAAGGAGCCGGTGGCTTTAAGTTGTTTCTCTTCCTGGCATTGATCTGCTACTTGCACTGTGATCTCCAGTTGATAGAAGTACTGACAGAGAGTCTCTGCACTACTGACCTACCTAACTGGCATGCCAGACTATCGCCCCCCAAACAGAGTATTTTATGGCGAGCTCCAGCAAGGGAAGAGGTCCAAGAGAGGACAGAAAAAGCACTATAAGGACACACTCAAGGTTGCTCCTAATTCTTTTGCCAACACAACGACGTAGGAGGCTTCTGCACAAGACCGTTCTGGATGGCGTACGTCCCTCGGGCACGGTGCATTGGCCTGCCAGGCAGCAGAGGTTGCACAGACAGAGAAACGGAGGCCGACTAGAAAGTATTGTACTGCTAATCCCACACTTACTGTGGCTTCCACCTGTTGTCCACTCTGCTCAAGAACTTTCCGGGCTCATATTGGACTAATCAGCCACCTTCGTACTCATAAACATTGATCATTACTACTTTGGATGAGAAGTGGTCTTCATGACTCGTGATGGACGAACAACAAGCTACTGTGATGAGAGCCTGGTCGTTCAGGCTATTCATTTTGTTTCTAATGTTAGGGACCTGTCTTTGTCGAGGAGTTGCAGTTATATGTTGTTATTTATAGATCAGCCAGCATTCACTGGATAATGTCAATAATCAATCAGCCGATTATATTTCCTGGTCTCATGTCAGACAAGTTAGCCTGAGACCCATGATGCTGGACTGCCTTAAAAGGAATTGACACAGTATCACTGGTCGGACAGACAAGCATGCCAATCACTGTGCCAGCCTGTCTCCCCGAGCCATAAGTGCCTCATGAAGTACAAGTTTGGGTCCCGACTATGCAACTTGTCTAATAGAATCACAGGACACTTACATTGCCCCTTGCCTGAACTGTAGTGCACCTTTTGTTCAAACCTGCATAGATAACTAATTTAAGAATCAACATCATTGCACACTGTGCATGCCCATTGGTGCTCTGTCTTAAGGTGTAGATGCTGACTGTTCCCCTAGCACACTGATTATACCCTTGTCATACCGATTCTCTCATACATCCCTTCTTGATGGATGCGCTCCTAATTGCTCATTAACACATTCTTAGACATGTTATTTCATCTAATCTCATGTCTTCTGTCAACATTCGTTCATATATGGTCTTCAGAATATCTTCCTTTTCTAAAACAGGTATTTCTATCGCTTTTGTGGCCAGAAAATCGACTCTTTCGTTCCCTCGCACTCCTGCATGTCCCAGACCATATATCCACGTGAGTCTGCCTACATGACAGTGATAATGAAAGCTAGAATGTGGTTAATGTTTACACAGAGAAGAATAGTCAACATTACACAGAGAAGAATGGTCAACATTACACAGAGAAGAATAGTCAACATTACACAGAGAAGAATAGTCAACATTACACAGAGAAGAATAGTCAACATTACACAGAGAAGAATGGTCAACATTACACAGAGAAGTATAGTCAACATTACACAGAGAAGAATAGTCAACATTACACAGAGAAGAATAGTCAATATTACACAGAGAAGAATGGTCAATATTACACAGAGAAGTATAGTCAACATTCATTGCCATGGTGGTGGTGTTGTTGTTTGCTTGTTTGTTTGTGTGAATCATTAGTTGCCAGCATTAAACATTAAAAGACATGACACGTTTTTAAAATCCATATTGGAGGATACAAATTGAGGGCAAGAAGTAGATAATGTTACAAGTGCGAGGACAACATCAAGAGATGGAAGAATGGCAGTCTGAGAGTGTCAAACCAGGACAGGAGATAGTGTGTTTTGTATAACTCTTGCAGCCAACCTTTACTCTGGGGATGACTCCTGATTGATTGAGTTGCCAAAAGTGGCATATTTCTTCCTGGGCTAGTGTTCCTGTTGAACCGTGTTTACCATTGTACTTGCTAATAACATGTCTGGCTCACAAAACATGTCTGGCTCACAAAACATGTCTAAAAACTGTTGTTGCCTTGGATTTTCTTAGAAACTACAAGGCAACTCAGGTGTGGTGTTTATGTAGTGATTGCAAGACAACTCATGTGTGGTTTTTATGTAGTGATCACAAGACAACTCAGGTGTGATGTTTATGTAGTGATTACAAGGCAGCTCAGGTGTGGTGTTTGTGTAATGATTACAAGGCAACTCACATGTAGTGTTTGACTGTTTCTGACCAGGTGTACAAGGAAGCCAAGGAGTGTTTGAACCTGCTGTCCTACAAACTGGGAGAGAAACCCTACATGTTTGGCCAATTGTAAGTTCTAGCATGAATGTTGTGTCTGCCATTCTGGCGAGTGATGTGGATTCACTGCCACCAAAGTCCTCTATCCTTCCCATTTCTCTGAGGGCATTCATAATATCAGCATGATCCATAGACTGACCGTAGGTAGTGATAGCGGATCCAGCCAACCTGTCAGCTCTTTCATTTCCATCGACGCCTGCGTATCCCGGAACAAAAATAAAGGTGACTCCATGTACAGTGGACTTCTGTAATGATTCAAGCCATTGTCTTCGCACCGAACCTGCCTGAACCGAACATCACCTGTGTGATGTCTGTTGGTTTCTGAGACATGAGTCTGTGAAGGACACATCCATAGGCGCTCACATTCTTTTCTCAACATATTCATCAGCGTCGCGCGGTTAATAGTGCCAGTCCTATGTTGGTTAATAAGACTTCATATGGGTCCGGTGTGCTTCTCATGCTTGGCTGTGCTGACTCCCAGTTCTCGTATTCTGAGCAGTGATGTGGACATGTTGCTTCCAAAATCCTCAGACGTCCAATCTCTATAAAGGGCAATGACAATGTCTGCGTGATCCATGGGCCGGACATCTTTAATTAATGCTGCACTTGCTATTATATCTGCTCTTTCATTTCCAACAACGCCCGCATGCCCTGGCACGAATATAAAAGTAACTGCACACAGAGGAGAGATTTGCAACGACTCAAACCACTGTCGGAGTAACCAGCCTGCCTCGACCCGTCGGGTCATGCTCTCAGTACACACAGGCGGGAATAGTCATGTGATTCTAGCAACATGAAAGCCTGTGTCACCGCCATCACCTCCATCCTCATGCTGCTGGTCATGGAGAAGGCACCGCTGACTTCTTGAACTGTTTTGCCAGAAGAGCAAGCTGTAAATTTCCATGCACTCTTATGTCCTCGTATAATGGATCCGGGAAGATCACCACGGCTGTCTCATCTGACTTGTCACTGATAAGCGCGCATACCTCAGAATTGGCAGCAGCTAGATTCTGCTCCCGACAACTCCTTTCGAGCATTACACAACACAGAAGAATGTGAGATTGGGCGTTTTAGACGCTAGTATCTATTTCTCACCTGGATGGATGTCTGTAAGGCTGCAAACCTGCATGATGTCATCCTCTGCCCTACCCAGCCACGATTTGCCCCTTGTAAGCCTATTGTCCTTTTTTTGAAGAGCATGTGGTGCAAAGGGTGCTTGAGATCTGAGCTTATCTTGAGGTATGCATGAGCCCTCGAGATCTTGATCCTGTAATTCATTGTAGGTAAGTCAAGAAGGTACCTCATTGCTACACAAGAGGTGTCTCCAGTGCACCCCAGAATAATGCGCGTTGCTTCATTTTGCACCTTCTGAAGTCTTTCAATCTGAGTATGGCTGACAGTGAGGATGGCTAGAGAATATTCGATGAGAGAAAGTACAAGTCCCTGGAACAGAAGCAGTGTCTGCTCAATGTTAGCGGCGGCCAGGACCCTCATTGCTGACAGGCCTTTGAGTGCAGCAGTATACATAGTCTAAAGACTAATAGAAACAAGCAAGCATTATCTGACAGATAGATAGATACATTATACAAACATGTGGAGTAGCTCACATCAGAGCAGCAATCCTCAGGACACAGAATAGTTTATGCCCCAATGTCTCTGTCAGTGAAGGTGACACAGATTTCTACAGATGCCCAGTAAGATTCTTGTTAGTGAAACAATTATCTACATTGTTGAATACAGCTGTAACTATTCTCATTGTCTTGTTGATGTTTCACCTCTGCCACCATCTGTGATGATGTGATACTGACAAGGGACAGTTGTCACTTGTAGAGGCTTCTTTTTCCTGGAACCTTTGATGCTTGTTTTGTTGTCAGCTGGCTTGTGTTTTCTCATGTTGAATAAGTTCTGGAAGATTGTCTTCTATTTCTGCGAGCAAGACAACCATAAATATATGTTTTATCTTAATACAGGGTTTACCCTAATACATGGTTTATCCTGCTAATACATGGTTTATCCTGCTAATACATGGTTTATCCTGCTAATATATGGTTTACCCTGCTAATACATGGTTTACCCTAATACATGGATTACCCTAATACACAATTTATACTAATACATGATTTATCCCAAATCATGGTTTATCATGCTAGTACCTTGTTTATCCTGCTAATATACGGTTTATCCTAACACATGATTTATCCTCCTAATACATGGTTTACCCTAATACAGGGTTTACTCTAATACATGGTTTACTCTAATACAGGGTTTACTCTAATACATGGTTTACTCTAATACATGGTTTACTCTAATACATGGTTTACTCTAATACATGGTTTACTTTAATACATGATTTATCCTCCTAATACATGGTTTACTCTAATACATGATTTATCCTCCTAATACATGGTTTACTCTAATACATGGTTTACTCTAATACATGATTTATCCTCTTAATACATGGTTTACTCTAATACATGGTTTACCCTAATACATGGTTTACTCTAATACATGATTTATCCTCCTAATACATGGTTTACTCTAATACATGATTTATCCTCCTAATACATGGTTTACTCTAATACATGGTTTACCCTAATACATGGTTTACTCTAATACATGATTTATCCTCCTAATACATGGTTTACTCTAATACATGGTTTACTCTAATACATGATTTATCCTCCTAATACATGGTTTACTCTAATACATGATTTATCCTCCTAATACATGGTTTACTCTAATACATGGTTTACCCTAATACATGGTTTACTCTAATACATGGTTTACCCTAATACATGGTTTACTCTAATACATGATTTATCCTCCTAATACATGGTTTACTCTAATACATGGTTTACTCTAATACATGGTTTACTCTAATACATGATTTATCCTCCTAATACATGGTTTACCCTAATACGTGGTTTACTCTAATACATGGTTTACCCTAATACATGGTTTACTCTAATACATGATTTATCCTCCTAATACATGGTTTACTCTAATACATGGTTTACCCTAATACATGGTTTACTCTAATACATGGTTTACTCTAATACATGGTTTACTCTAATACATGATTTATCCTCCTAATACATGGTTTACTCTAATACATGGTTTACTCTAATACATGATTTATCCTCCTAATACATGGTTTACTCTAATACATGATTTATCCTCCTAATACATGGTTTACTCTAATACATGGTTTACCCTAATACATGGTTTACTCTAATACATGGTTTACCCTAATACATGGTTTACTCTAATACATGGTTTACTCTAATACATGGTTTACCCTAATACAGGGTTTACTCTAATACATGGTTTACCCTAATACATGGTTTACTCTAATACAGGGTTTACTCTAATACATGGTTTACCCTAATACATGGTTTACTCTAATACATGGTTTACTCTAATACATGGTTTACTCTAATATATGGTTTACTCTAATACATGGTTTACTCTAATACATGGTTTACTCTAATACATGGTTTACTCTAATACATGGTTTACTCTAATACATGGTTTACTCTAATACATGGTTTACTCTAATACATGGTTTACTCTAATACATGGTTTACTCTAATACATGGTTTACTCTAATATATGGTTTACTCTAATACATGGTTTACTCTAATACATGGTTTACTCTAATACATGGTTTACTCTAATATATGGTTTACTCTAATACATGGTTTACTCTAATACATGGTTTACTCTAATATATGGTTTACTCTAATATATGGTTTACTCTAATACATGGTTTACTCTAATACATGGTTTACTCTAATACATGGTTTACTCTAATACATGGTTTACTCTAATACATGGTTTACTCTAATACATGGTTTACTCTAATACATGGTTTACTCTAATACATGGTTTACTCTAATACATGGTTTACTCTAATACATGGTTTACTCTAATACATGGTTTACCCTAATACATGGTTTACTCTAATACATGGTTTACTCTAATACATGATTTATCCTCCTAATACATGGTTTACTCTAATACATGGTTTACCCTAATACATGGTTTACTCTAATACATGGTTTACTCTAATACATGGTTTACCCTAATACATGATTTATCCTCCTAATACATGGTTTACCCTAATACATGGTTTACTCTAATACATGATTTACTCTAATACATGGTTTACCCTAATACATGGTTTACTCTAATACATGGTTTACTCTAATACATGGTTTACTCTAATACATGGTTTACTCTAATACATGATTTACTCTAATACATGGTTTACTCTAATACATGATTTACTCTAATACATGGTTTACTCTAATACATGGTTTACTCTAATACATGGTTTACTCTAATACATGGTTTACCTTAATACATGATTTATCCTCCTAATACATGGTTTACCCTAATACATGGTTTACCCTAATACATGGTTTACTCTAATACATGGTTTACTCTAATACATGGTTTACTCTAATACATGATTTACTCTAATACATGGTTTACTCTAATACATGATTTACTCTAATACATGGTTTACTCTAATACATGGTTTACTCTAATACATGGTTTACCTTAATACATGATTTATCCTCCTAATACATGGTTTACCCTAATACATGGTTTACCCTAATACATGGTTTACTCTAATACATGGTTTACTCTAATACATGATTTATCCTCCTAATACATGGTTTACCCTAATACATGGTTTACCCTAATACATGGTTTACTCTAATATATGGTTTACTCTAATACTTGGTTTACTCTAATATATGGTTTACTCTAATACTTGGTTTACTCTAATACATGGTTTACTCTAATACATGGTTTACTCTAATATATGGTTTATCCTCCTAATACATGGTTTACCCTAATACATGGTTTACCCTAATACATGGTTTACTCTAATATATGGTTTACTCTAATACATGGTTTACTCTAATACATGGTTTACTCTAATACATGATTTATCCTCCTAATACATGGTTTACTCTAATACATGGTTTACTCTAATACATGATTTATCCTCCTAATACATGGTTTACTCTAATACATGGTTTACTCTAATACATGGTTTACTCTAATACATGGTTTACTCTAATACATGGTTTACTCTAATACATGATTTATCCTCCTAATACATGGTTTACTCTAATACATGGTTTACTCTAATATATGGTTTACTCTAATACATGGTTTACTCTAATACATGGTTTACTCTAATACATGGTTTACTCTAATACATGGTTTACTCTAATACATGGTTTACTCTAATACATGGTTTACTCTAATACATGGTTTACTCTAATACATGGTTTACTCTAATACATGGTTTACTCTAATACATGGTTTACTCTAATACATGGTTTACTCTAATACATGGTTTACTCTAATACATGGTTTACTCTAATATATGGTTTACTCTAATACATGGTTTACTCTAATACATGATTTATCCTCCTAATACATGGTTTACTCTAATACATGGTTTACTCTAATACATGATTTATCCTCCTAATACATGGTTTACTCTAATACATGGTTTACTCTAATACATGGTTTACTCTAATACACGGTTTACTCTAATACATGATTTATCCTCCTAATACATGGTTTACTCTAATACATGGTTTACTCTAATACATGGTTTACTCTAATACATGGTTTACTCTAATACATGATTTATCCTCCTAATACATGGTTTACTCTAATACATGGTTTACTCTAATACATGATTTACTCTAATACATGGTTTACTCTAATACATGGTTTACTCTAATACATGGTTTACTCTAATACATGGTTTACTCTAATACATGGTTTACTCTAATACATGGTTTACTCTAATACATGGTTTACTCTAATACATGATTTATACATGGTTTACTCTAATACATGGTTTACTCTAATACATGGTTTACTCTAATACATGGTTTACTCTAATACATGGTTTACTCTAATACATGGTTTACTCTAATACATGGTTTACTCTAATACATGGTTTACTCTAATACATGGTTTACTCTAATACATGATTTATCCTCCTAATACATGGTTTACTCTAATACATGGTTTACTCTAATACATGATTTATCCTCCTAATACATGGTTTACTCTAATACATGGTTTACTCTAATACATGATTTATCCTCCTAATACATGGTTTACTCTAATACATGGTTTACTCTAATACATGATTTATCCTCCTAATACATGGTTTACTCTAATACATGGTTTACTCTAATACATGGTTTACTCTAATACATGATTTACTCTAATACATGGTTTACTCTAATACATGGTTTACTCTAATACATGGTTTACTCTAATACATGGTTTACCCTAATACATGATTTATCCTCCTAATACATGGTTTACCCTAATACATGGTTTACCCTAATACATGGTTTACTCTAATACATGGTTTACTCTAATACATGATTTATCCTCCTAATACATGGTTTACCCTAATTCATGGTTTACCCTAATACATGGTTTACTCTAATATATGGTTTACTCTAATACATGGTTTACTCTAATACATGGTTTACTCTAATACATGGTTTACTCTAATATATGGTTTATCCTCCTAATACATGGTTTACCCTAATACATGGTTTACCCTAATACATGGTTTACTCTAATATATGGTTTACTCTAATACATGGTTTACTCTAATACATGGTTTACTCTAATACATGATTTATCCTCCTAATACATGGTTTACTCTAATACATGGTTTACTCTAATACATGGTTTACTCTAATACATGATTTATCCTCCTAATACATGGTTTACTCTAATATATGGTTTACTCTAATACATGGTTTACTCTAATACATGATTTATCCTCCTAATACATGGTTTACTCTAATATATGGTTTACTCTAATACATGGTTTACTCTAATACATGGTTTACTCTAATACATGATTTATCCTCCTAATACATGGTTTACTCTAATATATGGTTTATCCTAATACATGGTTTACTCTAATACATGGTTTACTCTAATACATGGTTTACTCTAATACATGGTTTACTCTAATACATGGTTTACTCTAATACATGGTTTACTCTAATACATGGTTTACTCTAATACATGGTTTATTCTAATACATGGTTTACTCTAATGATTTATCCTCCTAATACATGGTTTACTCTAATACATGGTTTACTCTAATACATGGTTTACTCTAATACATGGTTTACCCTAATACATGGTTTACCCTAATACATGGTTTACTCTAATACATGGTTTACCCTAATACATGGTTTACTCTAATACATGGTTTACCCTAATACATGCTTTACTCTAATACATGGTTTACTCTAATACATGGTTTACTCTAATACATGGTTTACTCTAATACATGGTTTACTCTAATACATGGTTTACCCTAATACATGGTTTACTCTAATACATGGTTTACCCTAATACTTGGTTTACTCTAAT